CATTTAAGGATTTTTGTTTGTTTTTTCCAAATTTTTCTTCATATATATATATATATATATATATATATATATATACATGGTGTAACAGCAAAATTGTCCAATTGTTAGATTAAGCTTTGAACTGTTGTATCTTATAAATAATTAAAGATATCTTACTGGAATTCTCTGAGGTTTTTATGACACTATTAAACTCTACTTTGAGCAATAAGAATGTATTTAACTCTAAGTTGGAATGATGATCCCTCTTGCTGTTGTGACCTCCTGATTCAGTTTTCCTCACTACTGCTTGTTCTTTTTTTAAACTTATTCACCGTTTTTTGATGGCTCTTGAATGGACTTTGAAGATGGAAGCCAGAATATGAATGTTGTTATCATTACTGAAGACCTGAATGATTTTTTCCTCTCACTATTGCTCATTTGTGAAGATATAGTAGGGATGACACAAAATAATTTTAACTAATTCTCTTTTTAGCTGAATAACTCAAAGGGTTTTTCAGTGATTCATACAAAAAATGGCTAAATGTTTTATCTGAAAACCTGGAAAAAAGAAACTCAATTAGTTTAGTGGTTTTTTAGATATTAAACATTTTGTAGGATGGACAATTATCCTATGCTTTTACACGATTTGGACAATTTTATTGTCACACCTGAAAATTATAACATCACTACAAAAATAGCCATTTTGTTTCAACACTTCTAGTGTCTTGTCAAGTGATGGTGTTGCTTGTAAAATAAAAGGTTTTAAAAGAGTTCAAAACCAACCACTACCCTCACTGGGGGGGGGGGAATATTTTTACATAAGATGTAATGGCCAATCAAATTACAAGTATGCGATAATTCAAATAACATGACAACGAACCCTAGATACAATTTATTAATGATTTAAAATTAATATTAGATTATTAGATTTATAAGAAATCAGGATAACTAATTAATCTCTAATTTATTATGTAATTAAAAAATAAAAGTTATGAATATTAAACTCTAAAAATAACCATGCATCAACTTACAGAATTGTTCAAAGAAAAAAAAGGAGAAAATATGCCTAAATTTTCATGTATTGTTCTGATTAATATGTTAAGTTTTCCATCCGAATTTGAGCAGAGGTAAGAGGTACAATATATGGCTACAAAGTTGCAAAATACTAATTTATTTTATGATCACAACACAGAAATTTCTATTTTTCAAAACTAATGGTTAAAATTATTGTTCCATTTTCAAGTGATCTTGAATAACTTCAGAAAAAAAAAATGATTTACTTTTGCAAGCAAAGTAATATTACTACTTTGCTTGCAAAAGTAAAACATTTTTTATATTATGCTCTACTTTGTGTCGAGCACTTTTTAAAAAATAAATGCTAAAGAATTGTGGATTGTTAATCTTACTGTTTCATATGACCTTACTCTAATAAAATTTTTACATGTAAGTCTAAATATATTTTTCCAATTATCATTGCTAAACTCTGCACTTTCATGAAGCTGTTTTCATATACACCAGCTTCAGCAACATCTTAGGACAAGTCACCATCCTTTTAACAAGGACAGTACCACCTGGTGTGTGTGTGTGTGTATATATATATATATATATATATATATATATATATATATATACACACACACTTGTATTTCAAGTGGACAGGATAGTTAAAATAAAAGGGGTGAATGAAATTTTTTTATTATTTTCAGTAATGAAACACTTTATTTTATAATTCACACAGCCTAAATTAAGGGGTGAGAATCAATTTCCCAAGTATTTAATAATAGTGGAAGCTAGAATAAGGATGTCTTTGGTGGAGTTTTGTCTAAAGAAGAATAACCATTCTAACACTTTTATTTGAAATTCAAAGGTATATATCTTGGCTGTATTTTAATGTCTGTTTTTCCTGTAGGCAAGTTTAGATGAAGACCAACAAAAGGTCTTCATTTAACCCAAAACCAATGTGGATTTTCTTATTGGTTGGGCATGTGCCAACAAAGAGAGATAGAAAAATCAGCAGCATCAGAATCAAACACTAGATCATGACAGTCAGGGCACAAACAAGACCTCCACATGGGAACACTACATGTATAAGATAAACATAATTGAGACCATTTATCTTTGCATTGAATACTGTTGCCATATATGGTCTGGTGTGTTAGACATTTTATGACGGTTGTCTTCAAGTATAGAATCCAGAGGTTAGCAGTGAATATTTCGGAGACAGTAGGAAAGCGTAGTTCAGGTTAGCAGTGGATATCATAGTACTTCCTTCTGTCATCTTCGCCTGACAAGTTGGCACTGGTCATTCGGGTAGGGTAAACAAAAATGGCCGCCTTTATACACGACAGATAGAATGTTCTGCAGCTTCTGATTGGTTAACCTTCTATTGGTAGACTATAAAGGGAGTTAAGTCATTTGAATTGGCTCACTAGTTATATATACCCAAAAAACCGTAACATGGTGCCCCCACTGTTAATCTTGAGGATTTCAAAAATATCCAAAGACAGATTTGGATTTTTTCGAGATCCTCAAGAATAACAGTGGGGGCACTGATAAATTCTGACCTGGCGTCTCGACTAAAGTCACTTTCTCAGATGTGATGTGGCTTCCTTCTGTCTTTTCTAACAAATATTTTCATAGCAACTGCTCTGATGAGCTACTTTCACTGGTACCCCAACTGCATGAATTTAAGTGTGCTACTAGGTTAGCATCTTTGTCCAACCCTTTCACTATCAAAACAGCTAAATGTAAACATCTCCTACTCTAACAGCTTCTTCACTCACACTTCCCAACAGTGGAACTCCCTTCCTCTTACTTGCTTCCCTGATAGCTATAATCTTCAAATATTTAAATATTTGTTGTCAATTGACATCTTCTGATGCTTTGATCTTGATCCCAGTCCTTCTCTTTTTCCTTTCCTCAAACATTCCTCTTTACTCTTACTCTCACTCTCTGGAACCCTTTGCATGCTAGTGACACTCGCCTTGTTTGGGTGAAATACTTTAAAAAAAGACACTGAAAACACAAACAAGGATGAATGAATTTCAAATGATACTGGGTAGCACAAACAGAAATAATTGGTAGCACATTGCAATCCCATTATACAAGTCAAAAAGGCAAACTACCGAACTGCCTCTTCAGAAAATGTGCTTGCTTTTATGGAGCCTAAAACTTTAGCAGTTGGCTAGTAAGTAAATCATTTGCATAGCTAACACTGTTCACCTCACTATCCTGACTGTCTTATGGGAAATTGGTAGGCACTTTCTTTCTTCATAACCAGACATTCTGGGGTCCACACCAGCTCTGTTTTGGCAGGGCAGCTATGTGCTGTCTTTTTGCAGAGACAGCACACTAAACGTTGTCTCTTTGGGTAGGTGGGTACTGTTATCAGTAGCTGCTCTGTTTGTATTTCATTTCCACTACAATTTCATTATGACTTTTTGAATTTAAGTGCAGTACTCGACTGGCGTCAAGATCTCGTTGAGCTGGCTAGATGTACCCATAAATTCTATGGTAACAGTTTCTTTTCTTGCACTTCTCCCTTGTGGAACTCCTTTCCGGCTCCATACTTTCCAGCCAACTTTAACCTGCAAAAATTTAAATGCAATATAAATTGCTCTCTACTGTCCTCCTGATTATTCTTGTCTCTTTCCGCTCATCATTAATGTTTCTATTCCTAATTCTTCCACACTCTGTAACACTTTGTACTTTAGTGGCTCTACTGCACAGGGTGACACCAATTAAAAAAAAAGTTAACTTTCAGAATATACAGAATTATTGGAACAAAATATTTTTAAGATTATGGACAAGCCTTTGATAAAGAATGTCTCAAAGAACTGTTGAGACTTTGGCATATTTGCAAAGGATATTAGAATAATCTAGTACACAGCAGTAAATGACCTGCCTTGGGATAGAAAATGAATTCAGTAAATATACAAAAATAGAAAGGGGTGTAAGACAAGGATGTATCTTCTTGCCAGACCTATATCAGTTCTCCTATATATTTCTATTTTATCTTTTCTTGTATTTTATCAAGAATCTCTAAATATATAGCAGGGTCACCAAACAAATATGGCAGCAATATTCAATACATGGATGAATGTTAGACTTATAAATGTGTACAATAGATTCTGGCAAGAAAAATTATCTAGCATGACACAGGAAACAACTTACCTAGCAGTAGACCTAGCAATTGATTTGATATAATCTTTCCGCTTCATGTCAGTGGAAAACATTATATTGAAAAGGTGCAACAAGTCACTCTCCTGGAGGTAAGCATTGACCAGGCTGATGGAAAGTTAAAAGGTTTCTCTCATCTGATTAAAAGAGATCAGTTTCATTTTGGAGGTGTTAAAATTAACAAGCCATTCCTTGCCCCAGTTAACAACAGGTTGAAGGTTATTTTTGAGATCAGCTGCCAATTTGACATTATTGAATTGATCAGTCTTACTATTAAGACAGGAGTAATTATTCCTGTAAAGTAATTGGTCATGGTTAAATATCATTGGCAGAAATGCCCTATGGGCGGAACTGACAAAGTTTGGAATAAACAACAAGAAAGGAAAGAAAATAGAACAGGCGAAAATAATATGAGGCAAACAATATATCTGAGACAAAAGTCGGCAAAGCAACAGTAATGAGGCAAAAAGTTCACAAATTAAGAATGGTATTAACAAACAAAAGGGGATACAAACAAGCAATCATGGAGTTCTGACTTTATGACAAGAAAGAACAGAACTACATCAGATGAAAGCGAGAAGTGGCCTATCTTACTCACTAGGAAGAATTCCCAGCATGCATCTGTATATTTTTTCTATAAATTAAGGGAGGGGATGTTTTTGCAGTCATTCTCACAGTGACTGGAACCAATAACTCCTATTTCATATTGGATTAATTATTTCTAACTTAAAACCAGAATTGTTTTTGTTGTTTTCTTTGTTTTTGTTTTTTTATTAGTTTCCTACTAATCACTTTTTGTTTCTACTATTTAATACATTTTATGCTTCACTTTTTTTTCTCAGATGTCCCTGAGAAAAGACCCCGTCGTACACCAGAAAGTATTAAAGAAATTGCCAGGTATGTACAGAATACTTATTCACTGAGTTGTCATGTGACAAAATGAAATCGGATTTTTTAAATCATTTGCTGTTGCAATGATAATATAAATTAGTAGTAATACCCATGAAAATTCCACAGTTTTCCTGTTTAAATTTTGTTGTCTTTCTTTCCTTTTTTTTTTCTCACTGAAGCCAAACAGCATCTCTGATATGTCTTTTCAGTCTTTCCACATAATCAAAATGGAATAATCCATTATTTATGACATATTAACAGGGCATTTCTTTCTTTTCCTCACTGAAATCAAACAGCATCTTTAATATGCCTTTCATTTTTTCCATGCAATCAAAATGGAATAGTTCATTATTTATGAGGGCATTTCTTTCTTTTTCTTTCTTTCCATCTTTATTTCTTTCTTTTTCTCACTGAAACCAAGTAGCATCTCTAATATGTCTTTTCTATCTTTCCTCATGATAATAATGGAATAGTCCTTTATTTATGAGGTATTGGCAAGGCATGACATCCACAAATGCTAACAAAGGAAAAAGAGGGACAAGCTGAATTATAAGAGGACACTTTACAGTGGACCCCTTTAAATGACAGGTTCCTTCAGGATGTAAATAATCATGGCTCACCACAAATTACTTTTCTTTTATTGTCTATGAATGGCAGTGACTTCCAGGGAAAGATACTGGGGTAGTTTTCCATTGGTTTCCCCACAGTTTTTTCGTTCATAGTCCTTCTTCTAGATTGGCTACCACCCAAGACTAGAGAAGACCAGTCTACCCTTCTATTTAACCCATAGTTAGAGAGAGAAGAGATAAATTCATGTCTTTCCCAAGGGTATAAGTGTGAAAGTTAATGCAACATAAAAGTTCAGAATTTGAAATCAGGTTTCCAATTCCATTTTCATGCTAATTACCTTAATGATGCCTCTATATTTTGGTGTTAGGCACACAAAATATGAAAGGTCTGTCTAGTGTAAACCCTTAAATATGAACAATAAGAGAGTGTGATATGTTTTGGGCATCACAAACACTGGTTTTCACATGTACAGAAAACAATGCTAGTTATTTGATTCCTTAGATTATTAATGACAAGAACACTTTTCATGATAGGTTCTTTCCACCTTTTACAACTAAGAAAGATTTCCAGTGATTTTCATTGAAACAGCGGAAAGGAGCTGTCTTTTTTCTGAAATGAAGTATTATAATTATTTATGCTATTTAAATTGTTCAGACTGTTGTCTTCATTTTTACTGTCACATTCAATGTTTCAGCCAGTGTACGCTCTAAGTAGATTTGTACCATGTAATCTACCTACGAAACTAATGTAAATGGATGGCAGAATAGGGACTGTGAGTGAGAGGTAATGAGATAAGCATAACTTAAAGCTATGGATGATAGGAAGTTGTGGAGAAGCATGATCCTTCACATCCTGAAGATGATTATCAAACATCTTACAAAAAGTTCCTTAGGCAACAAATGTATCTTATTTGAGTCTCATTTTTTAGATAATGTTGAAATTTTAGATAATGTTAAAATTTTAGATAATGTTGATTTCTAGATAATGTTGATTTTTTAGATAATGTTGAAATTTTAGATAACGTTGATTTTTTTAGATAATGTTGAAATTTTAGATAATGTTGAAATTTTAGATAATGTTGAATTTATTTTAAGACATTTTTATGTTTAACATTCTTTTTATAAATACAAATATTTAAGTAAATGCTCTGTTTATAATAAACAGTATTAAATAACATTTACCGGCCTGAATATCCAAGAAATTTTCGTAGAAAATATTCGTCCTCTGACAGGATTCAAACCTGTATCCTATACGGAACCATCATATAGCCTGATGTGCTTTTACCGATTTCACCAGAGAGGATTGACCAGTTAGCAAGGTCGAATTTACTGCTTTTAAACTTCAGTCATCCATGAATGTATCACGTACATTCATGTCTGCTCATGGCGTATCAAATGTAAACAAATGAAGTCAAACATTATGAAATGGACAAAGTCCGACAATTATTTTAAGACATTTTTATGTTTAACATTCTTTTTATAAATACAAATATTTAAGTAAATGCTCTGTTTATAATAAACAGTATTAAATAACATTTACTGGCCTGAATGCCCAAGAAATTTTCATAATGTTGAATGAAAAAAAAAGAAAAACAGTGTAACTCAAAAGTAAGAATTTCCAGTTTTTATTCTCATGTTTTTTGTTCACCTATTTTATTTTGTATGTTGTCAAATAGCCACAGGCCAATCTGATCTTTTATGTTCTTAATCAATAGATCAGGAAAAGAAAAGCTTTAGGAGTTCCTTGTGATCTCCCATAAATATAATAGATTTCTGTTAGAATAATGTCAGGTGAATCAGTCTATTATGTATTCATAGCTATTGTCAGAACATGAATTAATTTGCTGAGTCCATTTGTTGTTCAGTCACTAGATTCTGTGAAAAACAGAGATTCATGTCTGGTCACTCTGGGATTTTTATTGATACCATCTGACTCAATAGTACCCACCACATGATCGGGTCATTGGCAACTAAACTGGTTTCCCCCACCAGGCTTTTCTGGTGAGGAGGGTGGCACCCAGAAGGATTGAAAACAAGAAACCTGTCTAAAGGTGGGTGAAGTCTCTTGCTGGGTCACCTGCTACATAGCACAATGATGTAGACTGGGCTACATAGCTACATATTCAATCAGTGTCTCAATTATATCATTCATGATCTCAACTGCAGTCGACACATGATGATGAAAAGGTGCCACTTGTTGGCAATGGTGGCAATGAGTGTTATTTGTACAAGAGAAGGAGGGTGGATCTACCCAATATGTATTGCTTCTCTCGGAGCCTAGACTTTTTGTAAATAGACATTGCATTCAGTGTCCATCAAGAAAGTCAGGTGCTGGGATGAATTGATGTCTCCTTCTGGCCACCAAGTGCAGACACAGATGCACCTGGATTGCAAGTGTAGGAAAAAGCCATATTAGATGAGATACCCATTCCAGAAAAGAAATACGAAGTCGCTTTCCTAATATTGCACACAAGAATATAAGGTCCAAATTCTGATGATTGCTCAGAACTGCACATGTACACACTGGCCAACAGAAATTAGTCATGAAATGAATATAATATTCACAGATATATAAGTGGTAAGAGAATTAGCCTCTCAGACATTACAGATGAGAATACAAAGTCCATGTTTCAGATGATGTGCCTGGGGACTGTTGGCACATGCACTGACTGACAGTAATTAATAAAGTCAGGGGTTGAATATGATATTTATAGACATATAACCCCCATTCCACACACACACACACACACACACACACACACACACACTTCAGTGGTAAGAGAGGCTCTCAGACATTGCAGATGAGAAAGTTTCAGATGAGTGGCCTGGAACCTCTTCACACACAGTGGCTGATAGTAATTAACAAAATCACCTGTTGAATATAATGCAATGTATGACAATATATCGTTTACAATTATATGCCTTTCCATTCAGATAAGTATCATCTTTTTTATACTCACAACATTTCGACTATTATACTGTCCTTGTTCAGGTATCTGTTGTATCGGTAACCTTCTTGGAATATTGAAAGGAAACCCCTTTATTTAATCCACGGGAGTAGTGTGTTCTCTTTTCATTATTAGGGGAGATGACTCATACCAGTTAATACTCTCCCATCTGTGTGTCAACAAAGATGAAGGTACTAGCACTTGTAATTGGTATTTCTTTTTTCAACTGAAAAGTGAGGATACAAAGTATCAGCAAAAGGCAGATTTTGAAAATGCTAGAATTTTTTGCAACATGTGTCAATGCATTGATATCCTTACAGTATTTAGTATTGTTGAAGGTATCACTAACATTTTTTGTCAAGATTTATAAACTCTACATTTCGTTCAATCTCACAAACTAATGGATGAAATTTGAAGAAGCTGATTTGTTTCGAAAAATACCTTAACAAAAACCTTACTTCACAGTTTTTGCACACCCTAGTAAAACTAACTGTACTCTGTACCCACTTATCTGTTTGCACTTCTCCCCATAATTTGGTTCTGATCGGTCAATTTTAGAGGGTGTGACGGATAGATGGACTAATGGAAGTCACTGAATTTTATATATAAATTACGATACTAATGTCTGTGTTCCCATTCAGTAGTTACCTATATTAATCTGTAGATTCTAAAAGGGAAAAATTGATTATTTAAAGCTAAAAGTCTGGAGGCAACAGAAATATAGTTCTGCAGAAGGATGCTGAGAATACCACGTTTTGGAGAAACTGTCAAAAAGGAAAAAGTTAGAATCAGAAAGAGACAACTGAAATTTCGAATGCACATAATGAGGAAAGAAGGCTTGAAGAATTTGACACTCACCAGACATAATGAAGGCAAAAGGAAAGCAGCAAGTAACCTTCTTAAGAAGCTTGTGTAAAAATGAACAGGGATTAGGAGTGACAGCAAAAAGACAAACCTTACTAAGAGCAACAAAATAGAGGAATTTGTGGAAAGCCATAATCGCCCACGTCCTGAAGGGACACGGTACATGGAAGATAATCTTAATGTTAGACATGTAGCTAGTGCATAAAGAGGAATTGTTGAGTTGAGCTGAGTTAAAATTCATTTTCATGCTTATATCTTTGGTAGAGGCAAGAATATATCACTTCTCTCCTCAGACACGAGATAAATGCTTATAGTCAGACCACTGTAAAAGTACTACTGGTACCATGTAAATCAATACTATCTGCTGCATGTCCAGGTTATCAGCAATTAACCTTGTTTTTCTTGTGAGAAGGGTAACTAGAAACCCAATAGGATTCATCCTGAGTATGACGATAAACTACATTCAGCAGCAAGGCTTCTGATCGGGAGGTTTTGAGGTGCAAAGAACCACTTATTAATTGTTGTTGTTTCAGGGCCAGTGTGGTAGCACCTGTTAGGGTCTCAGCTACAGGCAAATAGTTAACCCCCAAACTGGGGTCAAAACACTTTGAAAGTATAAAAATAA